ACATAAATTAAGATGACGCTTTAAAAAAATTATGCGGTTCACGGAGGCCTTGCTATATTTATTCCTACTGTCTATTTAGCAGTTAGCTAAAACAGTAATAAGCAATAAATTAAAAGTAAGTAGGTATGTACTTAGTACTAAATAATACAATTAACAATTTTTAGTGTCAATGTTGGTTCAGAATTCAGATACCTGACATGAAAAGGTTTACAAAATAATACTATAAAGTAAAAGTCAATGACACAAGAACACAAAGTAAACATTGTGTAATTTGTAAAAAGGGATGCTGTTAAAAAGATAAAGGACAAGTTGACACAAGGCCTGGCAAACGTTGCACAAGTCCTAATCACATACACGGTGATAATACAGAGTTATTACCTTTTCGTTTATATTACACTTTCGTAAGTCCGAATACTTTTTACAATCAGAAAAAATATTTTTAATTTGCTATGTTAAAATAACTTATTAATAAAAACATATTTTTTCATCTATACATATAATAAAATTCTGATTCAAATCTGTACATTAAATATTTTTTGGAAATTCTAATTGAAATAGTCATTATTGTCGATACAGAAGCAGAATTTATAGATTTTTTGAATTTTCGCCCGTCTGTCTGAAAACGCATCACGAGAAAACCGCTGGGCAGATTTTGATGAGGTGTTAGTTGATTACCGGGTCATTAAATAGGATACTTTTTACTGCGAGAAAATATGTCATCTCTGAGAAATCTATACTAAACGTGAAAACGTAACTAGGGACGAACCCGAGTGGAGTTAGTACTAATGTGATTCAGTAACCAGATGCAGTAAAAATCTCTTTTACCAGTAGGACTTTGCAAATTTAAAGGTATTTAGTATCTATGAAGAGTATTCTTTATTATAATAAATCACCTACCAAGGTAGTGCTAGCCCTGTGGTAACGCGCTCGCTTGGGAAACCGAGTGAAGCGGGTTCAAATCCCGGGTCTCGCACCTCTGATATTTTCATGTGCGAATCATTTCTAACACGATTACCACTTGTCTTACGGTGAAGGAAAACATCGTGAGGAAACCTGCATGTCTGAGAGAACTTAACAAGTTTTCGAAAGACATGTGAAGTCCGCCAACCCGCACTTGGCCAGCGTGGTGGACTATGGCCTGATCCCCCTCGTATTAAAGGGAGGCCCGTGCCCAGCAGTGGGACGTTAAAAAGGGCTGAATACTAACCGACGAGATTTATCTTATATAAATTAAATACTCAAGAAAATAATTTTAATGATGTATTATGTATCATGGCAACTATTATGAAATCGCGTGTCAATGTTTTTTACAAAATATTTTAAAATTAGAGTGAAAGTTTCACATCGTTTCAATCTGATATGAAACGTGGAAGCGATCAAGATATGTTATCGTCAGTAACGGAATGAAGATAAATAACTTTTTATAATAAAAATAGGTACTCTATATCATTTGTCACGTTAGTGCCTATATAAAGAGTATATTTTTTGAAATAATATTTTTTTGAAATATTTGGGACTATAAATGAAAAATACTTTAAAAAATATCTATAATTTAAGGAAAATGTGTGTGTGCGTGTGTATGTTGTTATTCCTTCATACTGAATCGGCTGGACGGACTTGAATAAAATTTAGTTCAAAGATAGATCTGAAGCAACTCATAGGCTACCAGGCATAGAAGGAAGAGTTCGTTTGAGTTACTTCATATTATATACATGATAAATAAGAACTAATAAGTAGGTATAAAATAAGTATTTTAAAGAACCATACCAGAAATTGTATTTTGACATTATTTTTAATTATTTTTCTATATAATCACGAAATTAATAATTATAATTTATGGTATTGTTAAAACCACATGGCAAATTTACTATTTACATCCATACTAATATTATAAATGTGAAAGTGTGTTTGTTTGTTTGTTTGTTTGTCTTTCTTGCACGTCGAAACGGAGAGACGGATTGACGTGGTTTTTTGTGTGGAGATAGTTAGAGGGCTGGAGAGTGACATAGGCTACTTTTTACCGCGGGAGATAATCTCATTCCCACGGGAAAACACGTTATAATACAACCCTAAAATTATTTATAATCAGAATTACTTGAAATTGTGGTATAAATGCTCTACAATACAATTAAATAAATACGTGTTTTAGCATTTTTCGGAATAATCCCATAAGAGGGTAAAATAGAGGATGAAAGTTTGTATGAAACCTACTTTTTAGAGTTTTTCTGTAGTATTAGCGCGACCGAACCCGCGGATTTTGCTAGTATTATATAAATAATAAAAAGTAATTTAATTAAAAAAAAATGGCATGTGCTGCCATCTTTGAACGGCTTCTAGTAAGTTTTTCCTTCATTTAACGCCATCTATCGTTACATAGTTTTATCCATTCATAAAAAATATATAAATAAATTGTATCCTATTTGTCAGATGTCGCTATTCGCCACAAACTAAAGAAACAACGAAATATAGAGTCCGCCAAAATAACTGTCAAACTCAAAGTCAATAATAGTTTATAGTATAAATGTTGCCATATTTATAAGATTTGCTATTTATTCTCCTAGGTAGCGAAATCTATAAATAAGCGTTAAAACGTATCTAGTGACGAACCCGAGCAGAGCGGGAGTCGCTAGTTAAAAACAGATCTTATCCACGGGAACTGTAAATTTTTTCTGTTATTCTAGGTTGTAATCTACTTTTGTGCCTAATTTCATCTAGATCCGTTTAGCAGTTCTGGTGTGATTGAGTAACAAATATCCATTCATCCAAACTTTTTTTCATTCATTCATCCAAACATATTAAGTAATAGCATTGCCCGCGGCTCCGCCCGCGTTCAGATGACCAAAAACCATATTCTCAGGTTTTACATATTAGTATACTCTTACATTGCAGTTTTTGTATTTTTTCTCAGAAATGATACATTTTCCCGCGGTAAAAAGCATCCTATATGTTGACCCGGATAACCAGCTATCACCATACCAAATTTCATTTCATACCACTTTTCTGTGATGCTTTAACAGACAGACAGACAAACAAAAATGCTATAAACTATAGATTCGGCCTCTGTATCGATAATAATGTTTATTTCAAAAAAAAACCAAACAATATTTAATGTACAGATTCGGCTTAGTTACAATTTTATTATATGTATAGATTTAATTTAATGAATAAGGGAAATTTTATTCATGTATTAGTTATTTTAATATGTATAATATTTTTGGGAGTAAAATGAGAATTATTAAAATAATACATACTAGAATTTTGTATTTTTGAAGCATTTTAGATCAATTAAGTACTTTTTCTTCTTTATTATAATAAAATCCTTTTGCTTATCTATTGATAAACATTTATTTACTTACTTTCACTCAGAAGTCAGTATATCTACTTGCATGTTGTCAATTCGTATATTATTTTAAAACATTATTGTTGGACAGTGGACTTCATGTTAGTCCTATTGCACTGGATATATTATTCCATGTCCAAGCTATTTACATAAGAGTCGCGTTTACTCTTTGCCATTTTAACATTTGTACCTACATATATTGTTTATAATTTTTAAAGATTAAATTTAAGATAAATGTACCAGATGAAGGAAAAATAAAATAAATATATCAAGGAAAAAAATAAAACAATTTTATTTTATGCATTGCTATAAAATTAATGATATGTACAATAAAATAAGATAATCATTTTGCACATTTTATTCAGTACAACTACATACAACAGCTTCTAAAAGTTTATATTTCATCCAAAAAACTTATATATTATAATAATAGATACATATTCACCATAGAAAGTATGTGAATCAGACTATGTAGTGCGACTTAGCTGAGCTAGGTATGTGTTATTTGAATCCAGTACTTGCTTGCCTCTCTACTACATGCATCGTCAATACAATTATTAATAAATAAATTATATAAACCGTAAAATCATCACCTTCTCCTTTTTAAATTGGATAGAAATTGCTTTGCATACTTGGTAAAAATATTTCCATTATAAATGTACAAAATTGTTACAAACTATCACAGTAGTCAGATCAACCGTATATACATGCCTTTTGATTTGTTCATTTTATTGCAGTTTTTATATATTTGTTCGATTATAATCTTAATATAAAACATTAACAAATATTTCTAATGGACAATTTCTACTTGCTAAAATGCACAAAAATCTTTAGATCTACCTCTTGCTCATGTAAAATTTTACAAATGTGAACAGTTGTCAAGTAAATTCAACGTAGGTAGATATTTATTATCTAATTACATATGTGATCATCAATAGCAACGTGCAATCTCTAATAATGTAAAAATGAAATGAGCAATAGAAAAGCAAAAGGGATTGTCCCTTTCAATCATATTCGGATATAATATTATCTTATTTATTTATTTTCTACTAATAAAGGAAGCATACAGATAGAAATCGTTATTTAAATACAAATTTCAGATTATATGATGTGCTTTGATTCTTAGATAATATTAAAAATATACAAAGGCTCTGAATTTGAAAACTATGTTTAGATACTATACCTAGTGACAAAATGTCATTTGCACTGACACGAGCAGTCTGATAAAGCCCTAAATAAGTAATTGAAGCAAATTGTAATATCTTTACTCTTCATAAAAAAGATTACAGGATAATTACCTAATATTATCTTTGGGATAATTCTTATTTTTTAGTGTGCAATCATTGAGCTTCCATATAAAGAAAAAGAAAGTCAGGTACAGAAATGACAATTAGAAAACAAAAGATACGTTTGAAGACAGCGTGCTATATAAAATTAAATGAATGGCACTATCAATATACATTTATTATTTAGCCTTAAGTAATATGAAAATTAATGTCGCATGCATTTTTTTATTTGAAAGTACTTCATTTGAACTCATATGACTTGATGATCTTAAATCAAAGATACGGCTACAAATTTCTTAAGGAGACGCTTTGTCTCTACTTCTAGCTTTTATAAATCAAATTAACACGCTCATCATCTTGACAGCTCACTTTCAGTCGTCATCATTTAGTAGATCTGTGCAGGATTTTGCTTTGGTAGACCTGAAAGTACAAATAAAAGCTATTAATAAACTGAATAGTATAAATTATAAATTGTAAGTGGGATTTGATATTTTTTTTTGTTGAGATTTATAGAAGAAAGGTGCTTTTTAATTCAAAATCTAAATAATATTTTAATTTTTGATAAATTATACTGTTATATTAATTCATTTTACTTTTACCTTAACATTGAATTTCTAAAAGGATTTTGTAACATAACTCACTGGTTCTTAACTCTGCGACAAACCCTGAGCTCGATTGGGCCATTTCTCACAGCTTTGAAGAGAGCTAGAGCCTCTACATGTGCTAATTCATGACATGCTTGTCCGTTTACCGCTAGCACCTCATCACCTAAAAGTAAAGAAAATGGTTAAATTATTATTTTTGATTATTTTCAGGTCTGAAGGAGCCTACTATAGCTATAGTATAAAAACAACATAACATATAGTAGTACCTATTATGTATAATAGAGACATATCTTGTATATTATAGGAAAGTACTGTCTTCAGCCCTTTTTTAACGTCCCACTGCTGGGCCTGGACCCCAGTATAAGGGGTCAATCAGGCCATAGTTCACCACGCCGTTCCAAAAATGCTAAATTCTTTCAGACATGCAGGCTTCCTCACATTGTTTTCCTTCACCATAAGGCAAATGATAATCATGATGAAAATGATTCGCATATAAGAAAATCAGAGATACGAGATCCGAGTTTTGAAACCGGTTCACTTGGTTTCGTAAGCAAGCGCAAAACCACTGAGATATCTCCTTAGTAAATTTTATATGCAATATAAATGCTTTTGGTTAAATATATAATTAATGACCTTTTGACTATATCACATCATACTTATAATTATTTAATATATACGCTCAAACAAAAATATATTGAATGATGTCCACAACCTAGCTGTCTTATACCATTTAAGATGATAAGTATTGTTTAAATAAACCTAATTGCATCGCAACTATAATTAGGAATCTTATATATACAAGTAACTGATATTGTTATCATAAACCAGTATGGTAGGTAGACGCATCATTCATTCTTATTAGTTTCTTGTATCCGTTTTATTGTAAACAATGTGATACAGTAGCCTCTAGGGTTCAAGTTATGCGTTTATTAGCACTAAGATAAAGAATGTCAGTATGATTTCCGATTGTTATAAGACATTAGCATTGCCCGCGGCTCCCCCCGCTTTCAGATGACCAAAAACCAAATTCTTAGGTTTTACATATTAGTATACTCTTACATAGCAATTTTTGTATTTTTTCTCAGAAATGAGACGTTTTCGCGCGGTAAAAAGTATCCTATATGTTGACCCGGATAACCAGCTATTACTATATTAAATTTCATCAAAATCCCTCCAGTGGTTTTTCCGTGATGCGGTAACAGACAGACAGACATAAATTCTAAAAACGATAGGTTCCGCCTCTCTATCGATAATAATGTCTATTTCAATAAGATTTTCCCAAAAATATCTAATGTACAGATTCGGCTTAGTTAGAATTTTATTATATGTATAGATATACTTAATATACTAAAGTAACTACAAATTATTTTTGAAGTAAGATATTGCGTTAAAACTCACCCGCTTTAAGTCTTCCATCATCAATTGCTTGCCCGTGTCGGAGGATGCTCTTTATGAATATTCCTAAAGGACCTCGAGGTGAGTCGCGTCCTCCCACAATGGTGAAGCCCAATGGTTTCTTCCCGTGTCCTTTTTCAAAGGTAATGGTATGATATGTGTGCGTAGGAGCTCGCGGTCTTCGGGGTAATGTGCAGAAACTGGTAGGATTTTGGGCTTGTACGTCACAGTCATTCTTATCTGAGGTTCGTTCGGCACCATCTGGTACATCCACATCGACAACATCACCTGTACAACTAAGTGTCAATCCATCTTTATTCGTACCACTATAACTCACGACCTGTCGACGCAGTAACTTGTTGTTCATACTGCTATAGCTCGCGTTCTGCCCTTTCAGGAAACGGGAGTGCGTATCCGCCGCGCCATCGGCCTCGTCCGTTGCTGATAGCGCGTCGCGATTACACGGAGTTTCGTCCTGAGACTGACGTTCGATCCTAATGTCATACTTATCATTACGTCTTTCTTTGCCTAATATTATTGCATTTTCGTAGTCCACGGAACTTTCCCGCATTAGTATAACACTTTTCTGAGGCGGTTCCCTTTGTCTCGTTTCGGGAACAGTTTGCTCACGTGGTCTACAAATTACAATATCTATTTCGGATGAACCTGACCTAAGTGCTTCTTTGGCTTCTGACATAGTTAGATCTCGAAGTCTTCTGCCGTTGACATTAAGGAGCTCATCTCCTATGCGTAAAGTGCCTTCCCTAAAAATCATTTGAATATTTAAGTATAACATCTATTATTATTTACAAAATATAATCTGTATTTTTGTATTAATATTATAAATGTAAAAGTTCGTATGTATGGATGTTTGTAACTCTTTCACGCCAGAACCGCTGAACGGATCTGGATGAAAGATACAGAAATAGCTTATAGTCTGGAATAACAGTTTTTTAAATTTCCCGTGAAATAGGTTTGTTTTTGGTTTCCTAGAGAAGAGCCGCTAGCTACTTTATATAAATCATTTAAAAGTTAAAGAAAAAATTAAATTGCGATTCTAATGCCCGATTTCACCAACATCACCTAAGTTTAAGGGATCCCCTAAGCATTGTTAGGGGGCTGTTAGGGGACAGTTTCTGTTTCACTGACAGTTAGGAGTCACCTAAATATTAAAAGGCCCCCTAAATTTAGGTGCTCGAAATATTGGCTTAAAGACAATCGTAGAACGAAATTTAATTTAGGGGCTAGTTTAGGGGACTTTTAAGCTAGGGATCCCATACGTAGCTGGTAGGTTATGGGTTGTTGGTGAAATCGGACATAAGAAAACTAAGTAATAAAGAAACTTACTTATCAGCTAATCCTCCTGGAACTACGTGTGCCACTAAATATCCCACATGACCCTCGTCTAATAACTTTGTTTTGGCTATAAATATTCCTAGTTCATCAGAAGGCTTTCTTCTTACAATTCTTACCACTTTAAACTCTGAATGAGGTTTATTTATATGGTTTTTAGCAGGCTTTCGACATGGTGGAATAGGGGGAATACCACAGTCGCCTTGACTAACATCTCTTTGACGCATTTTTTGCTTTTCAGTCAGTTGGAGAAATTGTGGTTCAGCGAAATCCGGATTTTTAGGCATTCGTCTGAGAATTTCTTTACGATCTAATGATAGTGCCCTTTGATTGTGTCGTACTTTAGGTCTCGGTTCATTTTTTTCCCTGCTTCGCCTGCTAGATATCCTTGCTCTAGCATAGCTTTGGTCGCCAGAGACACTCCTGCTGTGGCAGGCTACTTGTGGATTGTTATGTGACGCAGAACTTTCGCATCTAGACGATATTCTATCACTATCAAATATAGATGAGGATTCATTAACTAGGATACCTGAGTCTGCATCTTCACAGTCGTGTATTAAAACATTTTCATCGTCGCATGAAACTTGGTAAACGTCATCATGAAATACAGAACTGTGGCTCTTTTGGAATTCATCAAGTCCAGGTAAAGCTCCATATGAAAAACTTCTTAACTTAGCTTTCACCCCACCACGTTTCTTACGACTTTTGTTTATTGCACTGGTTGACTTAACTATAACTTCATTCCCACTAGGACCTATGTCTACTTCTTCCCCGTTTTGTTTATAAAGCTTTGAGAAAAATTTATTCGTAGAAGATCTTAAGTACCTATCAGACATAGCGCGTAATTTAGCAGAAAGACAAGAACTAGGCCCGATCGTGTCTTTATCATCTTTAGGCTTAAGCTTATCAGTCTTTTTAAAGTTTTTAATCGAAGTTGACATTTCTTCATATGATTCATAGTCATCATTAAAAATTTGATCACTCGATTTTGACAGTTTTGTCCCCGCTTTAGGTATAACATGGTACCGATCACATTCAGATCCTGAGCTGTAACATCTCGTGCCCCTGTTCGTAAAGGATTTTCCTTCTCGCCAATTGCATTCTACTGGGCTTTTAGCAAAAAACACATCGTCATCGTAATTTGGCATCTTGACCCAAGGGTTTTGGTTTTCAAACTCGGTATGTCCTGGGTAGTTATCGGTATAACGACAGTGCGAAACGTTTTCAACTTGTCCAAATCCACTGCAATCACTTCCTGACGTTGATGTAGCGTCGTCTCCGGGTCGAATTGGCGCATTTGATTTAAAACACGATAGTTTTGTATTTTTAACTTTATCGAGTAACGGATTGCGTTTTTCTCTATACACCACGTACTCTTTCTCTAAAGAGCCACCGCGGTTTTTGCGACTATTGCAGCTTTCTTGCGGCGAAGTGGGACCATTTTGCAATGAAATTCGTCGAGTCACTGGGCCTTCTGAGCTGCGTTGACATGGATGAGGCGATTTTTCTACAATTATTATTTGATCGCTTAAATTGTAAAAATTTGTTTCCACAGAACTGCTACTACTTTTTCTGTTATGATAGCGAACTGGAGACATATCTGAAATAAAATGGAGTAAATTAATAAAGGACGTTATTTAATAAAGAAAAATGTTATGTAAATAAATTTATGTATTTTTTTGTATTCAGCTCTTTTTAACGTCCCACAGCTGGGCACGGGCCTCCCTTAAATACGAGGAGGATCAAGCCATAGTCCACCACGTAAGCCAAGTGCGGGTTAGCGGACACATGTCTTTCGAAAACTTGCGAGATTCTCTCAGACATGTAATCTTTAAAATTTTTGAATTATTTTTTATTTAATATTGATGAACTAAATATAAATTACATGGTCTCATGTAGATTTGTATGAAATGAATCATATTTCAAAGAGTATATTAAAATTAATTATATTTACAATCGAAATAAGTTATAGAAACAGGTTTAAAATTTATATTTTTACTGTAATTACCTATTCTAGATCTTCGCGAGGACCTGGAATCAGCCTCTGGGGAGACGGCAAGTAGCCGCGGCGGCTCAGCTTTCCTGAACCACCGCATATTGCTTCTAGTTACACCATTTTGCTATGACTTTCACTGTAACAAAATAGTAAAATTGTATTTTAAATAAAATAATAACTTTATCGTAATGAGACAGGTACTATAATGATAATAAGATTAAAATTAATACTACAATGAAAATGCTAAAAATGGTAAACCATAAGAAGTCTATAAATATTAATTAAGCACCTAGCATACTTCAAATATATTAAAGTACAGTAAGTGTACAGTACCTATCGCAAAATATGAACAGATGTACGAAACATGTCGTCCATTTCCTTTTAAGACATCCTGACCATGTTTATTGCTAAAAACACATAAAATTTGCACACAGAGAGCAGGTGAAGTGATCTAAGTGTAAAAAATTTAGCAATCCAACTACCAGACAAACTGGTTCTCTATTAAAGTCAGTATTGCAAGAACTTAAAACGTTTAAATATTTCTCTTAGTCAACTCGCTTCAATTAGATACAATATGTACATAAATATATAATATTTTTCTATATAACTATTCTCTTTAAATTAAGACCAGTGCCTGACCGTGTGAGAATGTCTAGACGTATTTAAGAATAAACTGTTATAGCTTCAACAGTTTTAATCATTTTTTCTGCCATAATTATATAGTACTTGCCCACGGTTCCGCTCGAGTTCATTTAAATGTATTTTATATGTTTATGCAGGATATAATCTACAGTCACCATAATAGAGACATTTCCCAAGGAGAATTGACGTGAGGCAGGCGGCCGGTCGTAAAACTTTTGCCAAATCCTTTCAGCAGTACAGAAGATGTACTGGGAGAAGAAGAAGAGACATTTCAAATATTAAAAAGATCATTATAACCCTATTTACTAATTAATTAATTATTATAAAGATCATCATGACCATTGTATATTTAACACAATTGATAATTAATTAATCATACTAAGTTTCAAATCCAAGCAAATGTATAATACTCGTATATACCTAAACTGTTGTTATAAGTTAGGTAAACAATGAACGTCGCTAAATGTAACGTAATTAGCAAAGTTTGCTCGACGTATGTCGTTTAAATCACGTAACGCTTGAGCCTTGTTCATGACAAAACTTTATTATGTAACTTGACACATTTGCGTCAATCGATTTCCATTGCCCATTTTCATTATTCTGATGAGCGTAGGACGCCTACAGTATCAGTAATACAATCAAATTATAATATTATGTACGATAGCTTTTAAATTAAATATGGATTAGACTTCATTTAAAAATTGTATCGATCTTTCAGATTATCTGCATAATCTGTAGCATTGGTCAGTGGACACATGTGCCGACCGATGGCGCATCACTATAAGCTGTCTGTAAAATTGCTTGTGTTACTGCAGAGTGCTGATCCCAATAAACTATCTATCTGTGGGTTTCTTCACTAAAAATAGACATGTGATATAAGCTCGTACTTACAAATTATGTCAAATTCTATCTTTAGTTAATGAGAACAATAAATAAATGTTATTGGATTTTACCGTAAGGCAATAGGGAATACCTATGCGTGTGATTTAAATAAAGGTGAAATATTTTTTTCTAATCTTTATTGCATCTAGATTAAGCCTATATCAATATTTTTAATGTAATTTCTTATTGATTAAAACAAAATTTTAAAAAGTTCAAAAATACGTATTAAATTCATAGTAGTTGAATCGCAACGACATTCATTCATGAGACCGAATGTGACGTCAAAGTCTATAACAGAGCGCTGCATGCTGCATCTGTTTAATACATCTAGACTTGTTTACTCATTGATTGCAAGTTGTCATAGACTATGACATCACTTAAAACACGTATATTTCCTAATCCTATTGAAAAAAACATTTCCAACTAATCTCAAATTTCTAAATATATTAAATAAGTACAGATAATCGGGTTACGCCCATATATTATGAAAACCATACATATTAATATTGGTATGATAAGATATTATTACTTGATTTTTCTATGAGTTGAGTAATTGTGCATAATTTAAAATTATATTATACTAGCATTGCCCGCGGCTCCGCCCGCGTTCAGATGATCAAAAACCAAATTCATAGGTTTTACATATTAGTATAGGTACTCTTACATTTTAGTTTTTGTATTTTTTAAGTATCCTATTTGTTGACCCGAATAACCAGCCATCACAGCTATACCAAATTTTATCAAAATCCCTCCAGTAGTTTTTATGTGATGCGGTAACAGAAAGACAGACAGACAAAAATTGCAAAAACCATAGATACGGCCTCTGTATCGATAATAATGTTTTTTTTTCAATTAGATTTTCCAAAAAATATCTAATGTAGGTATAGATTCGGCTTAGATACAATTTTATTATATGTATAGATTTAAGTAGGTATTTAATATACGACATAGGTTTATCTATACAATATATGTGGTTTTATGTAAGAAAGTCTTATTTGAATGAATTATCTTATTACTATTGTATCTACATAATATGCGACGGTAATAAAACCTACATAGATTTTTCCGATTTAATTGTATGCAGTAAGTATTATGCAGAGAGCAATCATGGCGCCAGCAGTTCGTCGACCTTTCATCCTATGAAACGGAGTCGTCCAACAAACATCATATGTGATAATTTATGCATCTTGCAGAATTGCAATGCGAACACGTTGTTAGCATCGAGACCGGGTTATCGGATGTCATATGAATGACACGCTTTTAACGTAAATTTCCTAATAATAATGGTATAATATTAAATGTGGATGTGTAATTTTTGAAATTTGACTCTTATAAGCATAAGAGGGACTAGTGATGGGGGAATTTAAATTAAATAGTACCAATCCTCATCAAATATTAATATTATGTATGCGATGGATGGTTTAAAATGACCTATAGCTATATGCGATATAATTTTTACTTTAATTATAGAATTACTTAAGACAATTTAAAATTTTATTCAAGTCGTCGTAGATAATAAATTATAGCAAAAAAAAACACGCATTTTTATATTACTATATATAATCATTTTTATATTAGGTAGGGTATTTATCACTTAAAAGTAAAAGCATTTAAAAAGTTACGCTTAGATATAATTGAACGTAGACACTCTCACTAATGACATTTCAGTATGCAGGTAATGATGTCCTTACGTGTTTTCCGCGTAAATCCACCCATATACAAGTAAGGAAGTTGCAAAAGGAAGAAGTCATGTGAATACTTACAATACGTTTTGCGTAACTAACACGGATCTTTTTAAAATTTCTAGAACAAATTTTACATTTTGCTAAAGTTACGTCAAATTAAAAATATAAGTATATTAATGAATTCAATTTGCTTGTTAATAAAACAATCATTTGAGAACGTTTAGTATAGAACAAGAAATAGAATGTCTTACAAGAAATGCTAAGAAATTCTCTAGTTGATTCTTATTTACTGTATATGGAAAGCGGAAGTATATTGAAGCACAAACTAGCGTTAAGTCTAATTAAACGTTGCGCAACAAACGAGGAAATATGAGTCTTAAGGTAAGCCCTTTGTGACAACCTTTACTTAGTCTTGGACTTGACATGAAGGTGGCTTCCGTGTTAATTGATTTACAAATACATCTATAGGTATTATTACTAGCATTAACTGTAACATGATAAAAGTGAAATTGGATATCTTTGTTAAGAAAGTTATTCATTTTTAAATGGAATATTAATAATGTGAATTTTTATTAAAATAATGGATTAAAAATTACCTGAATTTCTACTTTGCACGTTATTACTTCGTTAGCTGTAATATGATAAACATGTAAAATAATTTTAAAAAGTACCATAGCAAATATCGTATAAATAACAATAAAATAAATCTCTCTGTGTAATAATAAACCTCGTTTTATCGCATCCTACTGATGAAAAGAAAAATGGATAGTTTTTCGCTCAAAAAATTGGCATTGACATTAGCAGGTAAATATAGCTAGCATTATTGCCACAATTCAATGATTTCTACAGTAATTATTGTGTGTTATTGTTCAGTTTATATTTTATAACGTATATTTTTAACTTTTTTTCTTTTAAAAAAGGTGCTAAAAATATATAAATAGAAAAGTAAAGTATAGTCATAAAGTCTACCACAACAGTTCAATGTTTCATAAAACGCATTATCAGTTGCAACCGGAGATGATAAGCATTGTTTGAGTAGCTTATGTATGTGAGGTGTAAGAATGGCGTCTAGGTAGATATTTGGTATATACAAAATAATTACACTTTATAATTCAAAAATAGAACTGTCTTGAACTCAATTTTGTCTATTGCATCACCATCAACAACAATAGTTTCTAGAGATCGTGTATGAATAGAGCTTACACCATATTAAAATTTACTCATTCTATCTAAGAAATCTTCTTTTAAACTGTAAGAATAAAAATGTACATGATAATGTTAATAAAATCATTATTTTTAAATAACGTACTAATTCTAAAATATACGTAGGTATTTGGCATTTAACAAAAAGCAAACAGGCCAAAGGATACGGAAATCATAACGATTTGATGTGCAAATAAAATGATCTTTATTGAATGGTTTAATTGGATTTTATCGCCTTTGATATCATATTACTGATTGTAAACAGTATTTAAAGGTATAATTATGTATTAATAGACGATATTTAGTGGGTTTTAAACATGCGCATACATTTTGAAGGTTTTTTACAAAGTTAAATATTTCATAGACATTTGATTTTATTTATCTATTGCCAATTAAAAAAAATAATAACTATTAAATATTTTAAAAGGCCAAGCCACATACGAATATATGAGTTTAGAAAAAGTTATACTATAACTCGTATCTATCACCTCACATGGTCATCAATTTTCATAATAGAGAATGTGTCAGTTCATAAAATGAGAATAAAAAAAATGTGTCAGTAAATACAGATAGTCCAGGGGCTTAGAGAAAATGCATTCTATAATAATTTAGGAAAAAAAAGTTTTTATGGGAATGACGTATTTTACAGGTATATAATGGTGTTGTCATTCCCATAGATATTTTTTTG